TTTAAAGAAAGACATTCGTGATAAATATAATTGATTGAAACAAATTAAAAAAATTCAATTCTATTTACTTAACGTTTATAAAACTGTTTAATTTACACCGATCTTTTAGTTAACTAGCGATGTTTTTATTTCGTTAAAACTCATTTAACTTGAAACTGAAATCGAATTTTAGGTTTAACTGTCCGTGGGTTACATTTGTAATTATAGTAAAATTTGTCCCAACACTTTTTCTCGTTTTAATGCCAAATTACTTATTAAGTCCATAAGGTCAGTAAAGCAAAGATATTTACGATATTTTTAAATGGTTATATGTTATTGTAAAATATGTTAAAATATTTCAATACTAGTTTAGTAAAACAGTATTTGTTTGTTTTTAATATGTTAAAAATTAATTGAAAATTAAATACTTCGAAAATGATAAGAATTTATTCTAAAACAAATCTAAATTTAATAAATGACATTGAACGTTTCAAGAATGTTGTACATTTAAAAGGACTCCATAAATGTTTGTTCAGTATTATAAAAATACAGTTATTAATTTTCTAGATAAGGTGTTGTATATTTATGTTGTCAACTTAATAAAATCATTGTTACAAATTTTGTATGTGTTACTGATTATTCACCCAAGTTATAGTGGATATAATATAACAAGAGTTTGACATTTAAAATTAGAATATTATGCCTATTCTCTTCATCGGTAAAGAAAGACAGGAAGAAGGGAACTATGTATAAAATTGTGCACTCATGCTTACTACAAACTGTAAAATATACCTAGTGCTACACTGTTGAGCTTTTAATTTTGATAGAGAACTTTAGTGAGCCAGTTTTATTATCCTTAAGGTCACAAAGGATTTAAAATAGAGTGAATACTTCTGAAGTTATTAACCGTACAATAAATACGCACGAAGATCAACCGAAATGCAACTAATTCAACTGTAAATGAGAATTATTTACCGATTTAAATGTTAATTATTATTAAAAATGGAAACATTTTTTGGCGATTTAAATTGATCATTTTTGCTGCAATCCTTTATACAATTATATATAATTTATTTCCTCGTATTTTTATGCGATTAACCTAATAAAATAACAAAGACAAGGAAACTCTTTTGAAGGAAATTACTCACAAAGAAATAAAAAACTTCAATTGACTCTTTCAGTTACAAGAATCCTTCTGAAAAGGTCCTTGTCGAAACACAAGTACTTTTTAAAAGAATCTTTTCAAATGCCTGAGCGTAAATTGCACTCTTATCAATTTAAAAGATTGTAGATTCAAATTGAAAAATAATTAGGTTGACATACTAGCTCAAAAGACATTATATATTTTAATTTCTTTGAGATGAAATGCGTATTTTTAAAACAATTTCTTGTTAAATGGAAAGTATATTTCTCGTTGAGCAGGACATTAATCAGCTAATATATATAAAGTTTAATCAATTTATAATTTCCTGCCTTTGACACAATCTTTGAAACTCAAATTTAGAAGATTTATTTAACTGCAATAACATAATTTGATACAATATATTTATCATGTATGAAAACCATTATCCTATATTACATTTAAGTTTTACCCCAACATTTTGAAAGACTTTATAAAACCTTATATTTTAAAATATATTTTTTTTATTTACCAATGATCCACAATTCAACAAATTATTTAACGCATACTTCAAAAATACTCAAGCATATATTAATGGATGCGAATAGCATAATAATTTCTGTTTTAAATACTTTATTAATACCATCATAATTAAATTGGCAATACTATTCTTCTAGCTCATTTGTTATGAATCAAAAAATGTTATAAAGTTTAAATGGATACAGTCTTCATTGCTGTAGGATGTTTTTGCTGGTAATGGAATCTAACGAGGTTTTGACTGTTTAACTTAGTAACAAACACTAGCGCACAAACTGAAACTGTACAGGATGTTTCGAAACTCTCCCCCGAAACTCCGTGGGCATTTTCCTTACCTCAAAACAAACAAAAAATAACATATAAACATTGTGCCCTATCTCACTTCAGTTTTCGTCTGTCATTGTGTGTGTATTTTTTACATAACCTACCTTGGAACCATTATAGGTACCAACTTCAAAATTGGTACATATATGATGATTCATAGGAACTATCTTCTTGCAAAGCCTCAAGTTTGTATTTCGTATAGTTTCAAAATGGTGGTCATTTTTTTATTTTTAAAGCTTCGTGACTAAAAAATCATAAGTTTATAAAAAAAGTTACAAAGGACAAAAAAGAAGGAAATTATGACAAAAGGAATGTAGGATGTACATTTAATTCACTTTACAGAAATGTACAACAGTCAACAACAGTACAACAAATAGGGCCATCACACAAATAATGGAGAAATTTTAATTTTTATAAAAGTAATACCTGCTAACTTATAGAATTTGCCCAAATTTGTAGCTCTAAATTCAGAAAAAAATATTTTTTCATAATTTGTGTTATGACCCTATAAAAGTTTTAGATTTCTGCAAAGATAATAAAAATTTCATTCTTGTTGTCATTTGCAACCTTTTTATAAGTAGCCGCCATTTTTTTATTCTACAAAGTAGAAATGTAATGCTTTGCAAAGGAATAGGTCCTCTTTGACATCATACACGTACTAAGTTTGAAGTTGGTACCTCTAGTATTCCAAAGTTATAGGAAGTTTTGTTTAAAAAAAATACATACAGAATAAACGACAGGAAACCGAAGCGAGATAGGGCAAATTTTTATATGATATTTTTGTTTGTTTTTGACCTAAGGAACAAACAAATAAAGGAAGGTTCTAAATGAAGGAGTTTCGGGAGAGAGTTTCGAAATACCCTGTAAACAAATGTGAGTTAAACATGCATTAATAAATAAAAAACATTTCATCAAGCTAATTATCTTTTGAGTGATCATCTTTGTAGTGGTATCAACATTCAACACTTAGTGATACATCTCCTCTTACAATACCTCTAAAGGCCTTTATCATCTCTCGGGACAAAGGAATTTCCTTGAAAAGCTATTCAAAACATTGTAAAAAGAACTCCTTGTAGACATCTTCTTCATTTAAAGCAGCCTTCTTTAGATTCTGTTGAACGTCTACTTCCGTGTATTCCCAGTTTGAAGTTTTTTTTATCACACGAGATTTGGTCATTTTTCTTAAGAGAGTCGTTAAGACGTTGGGGTTGTATTGTAATGTTTTAGAAGGGGAGTGAATTTATTGAGGGTATGGCTTTATAAGATTAAATTTTGTTACGGGCGAAACGAATGATTACAATTTCAAAATATCCACTTCAGTCAGGCTGTGCTTATGTTTAAAAAAAGATTTTTCTAGCGTTTTTACTCTATTTTTCGTGTAGTAAATACAACTATTTAGTCCAAATGAGCTCCACAGTTACTCCTAGGTATTTTCTTGAATATTAGTAGAATTTCACAGATCTTGTAAGATCTCAATGTAAAGTTAAATGATGTTGTACCTGACAAAGAAAAAAATCACTATCTCAGATCACAGTGTGAGTCAATTTTGATTTGGCCCACCATCATCTGAGGACATGTCCTTTGTGTGGTGCGTCCTCATTTTACAAGTGAATCTTGTTTTGTTTATAGTACAACATAAAACATAGTAGAAAAACCGCAAGGTGTAAGGCCAGAGCTTCTTGAAGACCAGTGATGAAGTGCACAACGACGAAAAAGTTTTTGTTGAGCTGTCGCCATCTTAGCACCAACTGGCTGACTCCTTGTCAACAGCGCCTCAAGCGGACAAATTAGCAACTAAATGAAACTTTATAGCTTCCTTAATTCACCAACAGATAGTGTGTAGCTCTTCTTTTTCCTATGCTCAGCTTTAAATTCCTAAAGTTGTGGTATTCATTTTGAATCACCCTGTACTTTTCCATCTAAAGACAAAATCAGATTCCAAAACCTGAATTGTCAGGAAAACCCTTTTACTAATTTAGATAAAAGAATCGTGCTAAACTCCTAAAATTTATATTCAATGCATTAAAAAGATAAATTTATAATAAATACAAAATCTGATTTGAACGAAGGAAAACTTTTAAAGTTTGTTTACAAACTACATTTTACCATTTGGCAGTTCATAAAGGGTAAAAATAATGTATATTTTCTTTTGAAAAAAGATTTGTGTCATAACATTTTATGTATACTATGTACGTCAAAAACTACTGTTATCAAGTTGCAGTCATTCATACTATTGTCAAATATGATTTTTAAACAATAGGTAATAAACTCAAGAATTTTTTTACGTAAGTCATTAAGCACCATTTGAATTAGTTTTCATTTCTATTTATAACCAAAAATATTTGTAGGACTTCTTTTAGCAAAATATTTTAAATTAATTATTCATATTTTAAGAAAACATTAACTTTTGTATTCAATTTGTCCGTAATGAATAACAAATTAGGCCAATATATTGCGTTATGAAATTAAGAAATTAATAACGTTGTCCACAAAAATCAGTTAAAAATTATTTTAGAAATACGAAGTGACACTTACTAACATAGATAAAAACTTATATGTTTTAGCTACGAGGTTAAATAAGGTTTCTTTGTGACGAAATTCCTCAATTTGTAATGTTAGTTTTGACTTTATGTTTGCGTTAACTATATTATAGATAGTAACACTTCTTGAGTTTTCAGTTTTCAATTCTTCTTACAGTATTTTTTTCGTACAGTAGGTGTATGGATAAACCTTATTTGGCAGCTAAAGAGAAACTTTAAAGTGGAGAACAAGGAGCTGGCACTCATAAGAGACTTTTTCTCACTATTTGAGACTTTTATGCATTATTTGAGAGTCATAAGTTACATAGGATCTAAAATCCCACCCCATCATCTGACTTTGTTTAGCCGCAGGCATAATCAATTTAGGTAACCCTTACCAGTTACACATTCAAAAAATTCCTTATACTAATATAAATATAGTTAAAATCAAGCTTACCATTTCAAAATTATATTAAGTGGTTTACTCGTTTAACCAAAGGATGTTTAAACAAACTCACAAATTTCTTATCCCAGGTAATGTAATTAACGCTGTTTCTACCACAGATTACAATTTGGTATTTCAATACCTAGTTAAAATCATCTTCATAAAATCGGAGGTAAGTTGAGTAACTCCCATTACGGTCGCTCCAATAAATCTAGGTGAGATGTTTATTATCTCTTGATATTCTTTTTGGACTTCTGGAGATCTCAAGGCTTCTCCTATAACCTTGGAGACGTAATTGGGATTTATTTTGTTAAAAAGATCGGTTAATCTTACGGTTTCAACTATAGTAATTTGACTTAGTTTTTTCTCTGCATCAAATTTTGAAAATTTCTCCCCTGTCAGGGCGAGTTGGTGAAGTCCATCGGCAATTCCTTGTATAAGGGCGGCTTTTAAAGTTTTGTAGGCTTTGCTCTGAAAATGTCCAGGGTTTTAATTATTCACATAATATAGAGTAATGATGAATCAATCGTTACTTTAAACATCTTTGCCACCAAGACTGATATTCGAATATATAATAGGCTACGTACCTTGTTTCGTCTTCAGTCTCAACTTAGTCTATGGATGACTAGTTTCGGGTACAAAGACCCATTATCAAACATCATATTGAATATGGTCAAACATCCGTCGTAAGTCATCAATGTATACATGCAGTTCGACGACACATAAAATGTACACATTTAATTTACACATAAAATTTACGTCGGGTGTTTGACCATATTCAATATGATGTTTTAAACAGGATTTGATAATGGGTCTTTGTACCCGAAATTAGTCATCCATAGACTAAGTTGAGACTGAAGACGGAACAAGGTACGTAACCTATTATATATTCGTTGCTTTAAATTGTCTTAAGCAGTATTAATACGTTGCAGGGTGAAAGAAGTTTGGTATAAAATATTTTAAATAAAGATCAGAGAAAACTACAATTTTATTGATTTATAGAAGGATTATATGTAGATACAATTGTGCTTAGCTTTGGAACTAGTACCTTACAATTAAAGTTAATATATTCTACGCTAATACCTACAGTTATACAAACCTTAGGAAAACTCAAAGCGAAAAAGTAATAATATCAATTTATTAATCACATTACTAAGTACTTATTTATAGTTTACAAGTACAATTTGTAATCAAAAGATTTTGTAATAACTCTATACTTTTACTAAAATGTACAATTCCATACATCAATTCGTTAAATAAAATATATTTATTGATTGGCATCATAAAAAAACCCATAAAACAAAAAAAACTACTCAACGTACTTACCCGTTCCGGTTGCTGGGTACTTTCCTGAACGGAAAACAACAACACGAAACCAACGACCGTCAATATAAGCTTCATCATGGCCTGAAAAATTAAATATAATGAATATTATAATATATTTTAATGTTTTTATATTACTCGTGTTTAATTAAAGAGCCAAGTTCCAGAATTTAATTTGAAAAGTAACAAATGTCTTAAAAATGCAATTCTCTTATTAATTGTTCGTATCAAGAGTTATTTTTTGTGGGTTTAACATATTTGGGACAGGTTGCAAATCAATCGTTTGCAATAAACGTTGAATTTATTATTTTAATTTCACTTATTTATAAATTGTGACAGTAAATGTTAAGCTATTTAAGAAATTATTTTCCAAAAACAAGTTCTCAAACAAAATTTAGATTTTAGTGACTATTTGTATTTTTAGTTTTAAACAGTATCATACTAGTAATATTTCGATAAGTATTTTTTTCTAATCAGGAAATGTAGATAGATTAATTTATTTACTATAGATATGTATTAATTAGAAAAAATATAGATCTATTTATTTTATTTCATCAAGTGGGATATTATATTACAATTATATATAATTAAATAATGTGTTTACCACACGAGGAGGAGAACCCAAATGAATAGATAAAGATTATATTTCTTAGTAACCAAGAAGAATGAGAACTGATTACATTATTTTATGTAAAAGCGTATTTTATTGCTTTACAGATAACATCAAATTAACTATTATTGTGACACTAATTAGGAAATTTATCCGACCACAAAGTGTAATGTGCAGTCAAAAAGTTATCAAAACTTAATCTAAAATACGTAATACAAGTTGTCAAAATTAAATTATTATTGACGTAATAATTCCAGAACGACATGCTGTTGCTACAATATAAATAAATAAAATATATTTGACGTACTAATTTACAATAACATGATGAGAAAGTTACTACGTAATAAATATGCCAAAGGGCCTTACAACAGTACTAGAGATTAAGGGGGTCATATAAAATACCTAACATGATTGTCTAAATGTAATATTTATCTGCAAAATTATAATGTCGTGATAATATGGCATAATCATACACCTCTACCATTGACGTAACTTTACTGTTTTGAAACGTTTACAGATTTTTTCAAACTTGGTCTAGTAAAAGCTCTCTAGAGGTAATTTATATCAGCCCCACAAACACCTAACGCATTCGTTTCTCACTTATCTGTTTTGAATAGATAAGCTCCATGTAGACTGGATGTATTCCAGCAGTTGGTGCCAACTTAAACGAGATAACAGCTGGGAGCCTCATCATTGGTTAGCTGTGAGCTTTGAGGGTTTTATGTTGGCTGAACTGATTCCAAAAATAGTATTAAGCTTTGGAAACTCAAACCTAGGAGGAATAAAAAGCAGGACCTCTTTGACATTGATAAAAAAGAATGTAGGTCAGTTTTAAGATATAAAATAGTGTGAAAATAAGATTGAGCGTTTCTTATTTAACATTTGTAAACCTACAATGATTCAATTTACTAACGCAGTTTTTATATAATTAAATAATAATCCAATAAGTAATAAATACATGATGTACTTGATCATTATTCGATGAGAATGTCGAATACATAATGCATGTGGGTAAAACCTACATTCCTCATTTATTAACTATAGAACCAGGTGGAAATGTATTCCAAATACTCTTAACTATAAATATTCATATGTATTTCGATGCATGATTCCTTTTTTTAGTCCTATGCTTTTCTTATTTTACGAGTTTTTTGCCTACCTGTGACATTAAATTGAAAATAAAAAGGACTTTATCAATCAAATTCAAAACACTATTTATTTATAGGACTATATTATTACTCTTTTGTAAACAATATTTAGGTCAGTTTAAATGAAAAGTCTTATTGAAAGGAATCTAGCACAATATTATTATTGTAAACATCATAAACATAAATACTAAATACAATACACAACATATCTAACCGATTTCTTTATTTTTACGAATAATAACTTTAACCTTATGAGATTTTATGCTTTAAGGGGTTTTAAGGGGATTTGAAGGGATATGTGAATATATACCAAGAAAAGTCCCAAAAGCAATTTTATCACTTTTAAAGGAATTTAAAGTTAAATTCCTATATATAATATCAATTAAGTTTGTGTAATCTTTACTTTGATCTTGAAATAGACACCAAGAAACACCCTTATACTTAAGCTATAGCTGCTTTATAAATAAGTTCGAAAATCTGTTTTTTGCTTTAATTCGCATATAAATCAAATCAAATCAAACCTCTTTATTGTCTTTCAGCTCTACTAAAGCAATTGGCATTGACAAATGACATGGTTAAACACTAAACATAGACATAGAATAAATAACAGAAACCTTGATCTTAAATTACATAAATTTTTATATCTAACACCTCCAAGGATAAGAACTTACCTACAGAGTAAAAACCATGAACTAAGGATTTTTAAATTTTTATAAGAATTGTTAGTGCAGAAGGGGGCAATTTATTAAACAAATGTATCCTAAGATATTTGTAGCTATTGTGTGTAAGTGTAAGTATTGTAAGTGGTACGTTGAGGTGATAGCTAGATCTCTTGTGTAATGTGCATGTATTTCTGATCGGATACTATGCTGGTCCATATTCTGTTTTACGTATAATAAAAATTATAAAGATGGAAGGGTTAGGATATTAAAGGCCTTAAAATCTGCTCTGCAATTGTCCCTGGGCTTTGTTCCTCTAATGCACCTAACTGCTTACCTTTGCCATTTGAAAAAGTGTTTGACTCTTACAGAGTTACCCCATAAGAGAACACTATATTGTAGGTGAGCATGAAGAAATGCATGATAACAATTTACAATATTTTGTTCATTTACATTGTCCTTTAATTTTTTTAACAAAAATAAAGTTCTAGTTAATTTACTACATAAAAAGTCTATGCTCACTCCAATTCAGCTTCTGATCAATATAGATTACCAGCTATTTTGCCGATTTATTGTCGATAGAATTTATTTTAATGTTGAATGTATTACTTCTGTTTTAAGTTAATGATCCTTAATTCATTTCCCCGAAACCACTTTTCAGCCAACTTTAACACCTCATCCCGTCCTTCAAGTGTTTTGTTCAGATTTTGACCACTTGTGAGTAATGTATTATCATCAGCGTAGAGAGTGATTTTACAGGGAATAAAACAATGCACATCATTAATATAAACAATAAAAAGTAGAGGCCTAAGACCTGATCCTTGAGGTACGCCAATTTTTCTTTTGACAATTTTGGCAAAAAATAATGCCAATTTTGAATTATTCTTATCTTTTGGAGGTGATCAGTGTACCACTTAGAGCTATGTTGAGATTCACGCTTGACACTGTCTTTATTGTTTATTTTAGTAACAATAGGAAAGTTTGATTAAAAATTTAATTTTAAATGGTTAATAAAATAATCAAAACGTTCATTTATATTATCGTTAAATTAAAGGGATACAATTCATATGGCCAGTCAACCATACTTAAATAATTTTGAAATGAATTAATTCATATTTTGATTGACAACGCTTAATAGCTTTGTCACCTAATATACGAAATTTAACCTCTTTCTTACTTTTATTGAGGAAATAACTCATCTTTAACCATAGTCCATCATGATCAGATAGATCTAAATTAATACAAACAAAAGTAAAGTCTGTTTTTGTTAAGTTACTAATTAAATTGTCGATACATGCTTTATATCTAGTCGGTTTTGTGTTGTAGCAACAACAATTAAATGAATTCAACATACTTAAAAACTAATTTACCTTTATTTATTTTCTCTAAAGTGAAAATTTATGTCTCCTGTGATAATTCTTCTACTGTTTTTGTATTTTTATAGTTTCAGCAACCTACAAGTTGAAAAAAATTATTTTAGCCATTACGTAAAATAAGGTTTTCTGATGGAAAGTTATACTCAAATACTTATGTTAGGGTTGACCATGAACAGAATGTTGCGCTTCTTAAATATTCACTTATTTTCTGAATGTACAAAAGTTAAATAGGCCAATAGATAGAACCTATTTTAAAGCCAAAGACAAACCTGAAAATTTGATCAATAATATACTTCTTACTTTAAACTTCTAAGAAAATAATCTCATAGGAATGGACCCTTTTTTTATAAATTGATCAGCCTACCAAAATTGATTTGTCAAGAAAATAAATTAATGATTTAATGTATCCTGTAATGTAGGATTTTCAATCATTTTGAAGTATGCAAACTACCAAATATAAGGAACGCGATACTGATGAACCTTCTAAATGTTTTTATTATTTGATAGATAAGGTGACGAATAAAAATACTGAGACCCATAAATAAAATGGATAACTCACACTTGGATACACACCATTACAAATCATCGGAGATTACATTTTACTTGGATATTATCCTACAAGCTCATTAAAATATTCAAATCATGTTGTTATCAGGGTGCATTTATAGTGGAAAGAAAATAATATTTACAACAATGTTAATGAAACAATTAAAAAACAAGCGTTGATACACGATTACACTCTCTTAAATAGGGCTTTTACCTTAGCTTCAAGAATTCGAAAATGGTCATATGGTATGTTACATTTATAATTGTTATAACAGTTTTTTTCTTTAATTAATTTTAGTTAATTTTAGATTATACTGGCTGGTTCCAAAAAAGGAATCAAAAGTCTATAAAAATTCATTAGAACAATGAAATCCTTTGTATATGTTTAGGTTGAGCTAGATAAGGTTATTTATTTCAGATTATAAAAATGTAAGTCAATCAATAACACAAACGTTTAATAAAGTCCTACAACAACGTAAATTATACTTTGCCTGTAGTTCCAACAGGCATTTTATAGGATGTAGGGAAGTATTTAATGAGTATATCTCATACTTTTCCTGGTTCGTCTTCTGCAATGTATAGAATGCCTAGTTATATACTTGCCTGTAACCTTTACAGTAAAAATAATCATAGCTATCACTCAGGGTCAAATAAAGTCAACATTACCTGTGTTCTATTGTAAAATGTGCACTTAGAAAATTCAAAGTGGCGAGGGATTCAAAATTACCATTCTATCTTTGTAAAGAA